AAACTAGCTGGAAACGGGTGTCTAAGGTGGCTCCAAAGGCGTCATCAAAATGCACGATGATTATCAATGATAGGTCTTCTGCCTTTTGGCTTGCTAAGTGGCTGGATTCAGAGCGGCTACAGATTGAAGTTGATTCACATTCTTGGCCAGATTTAACGGTTAAGGATTTCTTTGCTTCTAAAGGTTTTTTCTTGCAAGAATTGAAGGAGGTTTTACAACCTCAATCCTATGCATGACTATCATCTATGTCGATGGAGTTCAATGAAGTTAAAGATTATCTAGCGTGGACATCAAATGCCACAAGGAGTTTTTCAATTGCTACTACTTATGCTGAATTTAGAGAAAAAAGAGAGGAGATTGCAAGTCTTAAAAATTTTTGGAATAAATTTTTGCCTTTGAAAATTTCTTTTTTCATGTAGAAACTTTTTAATTTTTTGTTACCTTTTCCAAAAGTTTTGCAACAAATGGGTTTTCATTCAAATCCATCCGTATGATCATTTTGGAAAGAGGAGGAGGAAAGGATAGATCATATATTCCAAGGTTGCAAAAAGGTAACCCAGTTATGGAATCACTTTGCTTCAATTTTAGGTGTTATCTCTTCTAACCATACAGGATGGTGGAGCACTGTGCAAGCATGGCATTCCATTAGAAGCTATACCACGGCAAGAAAAACAATTATTATAGTTGTTCCAATCTTCTTACTTTGGGAGATTTGGAAATGTCGTAATAAATCATCCATGAAGGTATAAAATTTTCTCAAGAAGTTTTATGTAAAGCAATTGTATCTCAAATTTGTTGAGTATCCATAAGTTGAAATCAAAAACAGAGAATGAGAAGCAAGAGATTGAAAAGATCTTCAAAGCAAATGTTTCAATCATGCCAAGGAAGAAAGTCCTAGTTGTAAGATGGCAACCACCAGATCCAAGGGAAACAATTTTAAATATGGATGGTTCTGCATTAGGCCAACCTGGTGAAGCTGGATGGGGTTTTGTGATTACAGGAGAAAAAGGGAGGCTTGTGCAAGCAGAGTGCTAGTATATGGGGACAGCAGGCAGCCTGGAGGCGGAGTTAGATGGAATTCTCAATGGCCTTCGATCCTGCAAAGAAAAAGGAATACATCAAGTAAAAGTCCAAACGAACAAGAAGGCGACTGTCAACATTCTCAATACTACAAAAAGCTATCCTTGGTGACTTCAACCAATCTTTAAAGAAATTCAGGGATTGCTTAAGTCTTCCAACTCCAAAATAATTCATATCTTTCAGGAAGCAAATGCGATGACTGATGATTTAGCTAAACGAGCCTCAAGAGAAGATACCAAACAGTATAATCATCAAGATGACCTCCCACCTTGGATAAATGTTCAGCGAGGTAAATGGTATTTGGATAAATGTTCGTTTCCTTATCTCCAAATTAGATAGCATTTTCTTCCTCGATATGGATCCAGAACTACTTATAGATTGGATATTAGAATAGGGTAGTATAGTTTTTATTTTTACAAACAGAAGTGTCGTGGGGTTTTTTCAAAACCATTTTAAGGCACTCTCTTAGTTTAATTTTATTTCACAAACATATAAAGAGATGCCATGGGATTATAACAAAATCTTTGTAAGACATCATCTTAGATATTGCATACAGAGCTGTCATGAGATTTTTAGAAAATTTTTATACGACAGTCTTTTTTTCTTTTGGGTAAGTCTTAAGCACTGTTGGTATACTATTTTTTAAAAATTAATAAAATCCGGGGATGCCCGCCAAAAAAAAAAATATTATTGATAGTTTGTAATGGAATTATTCAAGAACTATCCCACAAAAATGAAAAGATTAGTTAAGCCTCCATTTGGGTTTCCACTTTTTCTTTAAAGAAAATATTTTCTTAAAGGTCCTTTTTAAGATTTTTTTTTTTAAAAATAAATCAATATTCAGTTTTCTCTCTTCACACTGTGGGCAATTCCCCGCTCACTGTGTGCGATTTCTTCGGTTCCGGCGGTGCACGTGCCCACAATGGCAGGAAAACAGAAGAAAAAGAGGGGAAAGCAAGTGATTGAGGAAATTCAACAACCAGAGGAGGAACGATGACTCTATATGGCATCGATGGGGACTGAATCACCAAAGGTTAGTAACCCTAATCCTATGCTCGATTGGTCACATGACAGTATTAGAACAATTATGCATACAAAAGCTTGTTGAAATTGGGGGAACTTCTGGCACTAGATCTGAAATGAATAAGGAATCGGAAAACGGAAGTAACACTGATGATAGCAAAGGAATATGGGATCAATTTGACTCAAAAAGGATGGATAGTATGAACATAAAGCTTGAATACATCGATCCAACAATAAAGCAGAGTAGAGCCGTACCAAAAATCTCAAAGGAAGAGATATATGAGGCAGCTGATTACTAGCGCTCTTCTCTTATTTGTTATGTACCAGGGGCTAACCCTCCCTTCTATGTTGTAAGTGGTTATCGAGGAGAATTTGGGAGAAGGCTGGGATAGACAAGATCCTCTTGATGGATAATGGTGTATATGTTGTAAGATTCACCTCAGTCACGGCTAAAGAGGAGATCTTACAACAAAATGTCTATCAGTTTGACACTAGGCCGGTAATAGTTAAGGACTGTTCTGTTGAAGTTGGCTTCAAATTGGAGGATCTTAAATATGTTCCAGTTCGGGTACAACTGTTCCATTAGGATGTTGGAATGCTAAAACTCTCAGCAAAATCACAAGTTTGGTTTGCAAACCCATTGAAATGGATGAAATGGCATATCAGAGGAACAGCACTAGATATGCTAGAGTCTTAGTTGAAATGGAAATCTCAGGAAAAAGGTCAACTAAGATGTGGTTTGAAAATGAACAGGGTATACTTCAGGAGCAGAGGATCAATTATGAGCAGCTACAAGTTCAATGTCTAAACTGCAAAGAGTATGGACATGAAACCACCAAGCGTAGGAGGCTGTAATGAAAACTTGGCAAGTCAAGCAGGGAAAATGAACAAGAGGGAAATAAATCCGTGGCAAACAGTGGTGAGGGAATCAAGGAGGAAAAGGGAAGGAGGTGACTACTCTAAACGTACAAAGGTATTGTAACAAGCTGCACCAACAAAGAGCAAACAAATAAACAAAGAGGGATCATTGGGAATGAGACATGATGGTAGAATGCTCAACAAAGAGGGGGAAAAACAAATACAAACAAGGAAGGATACAAGAACATTGGAGTTGAAAAAGAATAATAGACCACAGTCAGGAAGCAAAGTATATTATAATGGCACTAGTAACCATAACACAGGGTCTGGTAACCATGAATAATATACTCAGTTGGAATATAAGGGTAATTAATAGTCCCCTGAAACATAGGGAGGTAGGAAACTACCTCTCTATAAATAAAGTGGGTATTGTGGTGATTTTAGAAACTAAACTAAAAGGAGAAAAGGTGGATGAACTAATAACAAGAAAGTGGACCTCATATGATTGCAGTCAATGTTGTCAGACTCGGCTCGGACCGGCCGGTCGAACCGGTTAAACCGGGATTCGGACCTAAGACCGATCCGAGCAGAGTTATAAACTCTCAAATTTAAAATTCGGTCAAACTCGGTCAAGACTCCGATTGAACCGGGAACCGGTCAAAACCGGGTCGACTCCGAGTTTTCTATTTTTTGGCTGGCACACACCAATTTTGACGTTCCTTTTTATTTTTTTTAGTTTTTTAATTTTTAATATGGTTTTGGTCGATTCTTTTGATCTTTTCACAGTTCAACAAGCATTTTACCTTTTCTAATTTTTCTTCAATCATTGGCGCTCCACGTCTCCCTCCGCCTATGAATCAATCGACACAATATTCATCCTTTTTTGCCCGGTCACTCGCCGATTTGCCGTCATAGCACTGCCCGCCGGCCGATTAGCTACCGATTAGCTACTACTGATGGTGTATTTTGCTTACTCTATTACTTGGCTCTGCTTATCATTGTGAGTAAGCCTTAAAGCCGAATACTTTGCAAGAATCAGGATTTTTTGTCGATTACCTGTGAGATTCTCGATCTATACTTCCACACAAAATAAAGTTCAAATCTCTATGATGCGTCTGGGTTTGTTTTGGGGTAAAATTGAAAAATTCAATCTTTTTTCTTTGTATTGTTTTGTTCTTTCATGGTCATGGGCTTGTGATTTCCCTGGAGTAATTGTTTTTATTAGCAACTTTAAAGGTTTACATTGGCTATAATTATGGCTTGCAGTCTTAATGTTTTGGAAGTGGGATACATTATTAGATTTTGATTTGCAGTTGCTGCTCGTCGGACGGAGTTGGGGAAGAAGATTCAGATTTATGATTCAAAGTTTTAATTTGATTTAATTGGTCCCTGGTGTTTAGAAATATCTTAAAGTACCCGATTGACTACAAAACTTCCACCTTTGCATTTTCCTTGAATTTTGCCTCTATGGATCCTATGTGGGTTTTTTTTTTTGGGTTTTTCCCCCCCAAAACTAATTAATTTTTTGCACTTGTTTAATATTATTTCTAAATTGAATTTAATCGCAACCCCTAAATATCAACTAATTAATTTTTTGCACTTGTCCCCTCTCCTTTTTTCTTTCAGTTTTTTTTTTCACATCATTTGTAAGATGTTGTTTTAGCTTCTTTTCATTTTTTTCCTGGGTTTACTTCATTTATTAAGATTTATTTTGTTTTGATTTAATTAGGTATAGACACAAATCTGTTGTACATGGGCAAACAAGATAACGACTTCTTTTGGATGGTTTTGAATTCGATCATTCAGGTTAGTGTTCACATAACCGTTACCTTGATAATATTCATGTTTGAATCATGTCTTAGACTTAATTTCAGTTATAGCTTCACATTTTCAGCCATAATTTTGATAGAGCACAAAAAAGAAATGTCTGATTACAAATTTAGTTTATAGTTTAGTATACTTTTATTATATTTAAGAGGTTTACAAAGAGACTAATTATTGTTTCACTCTGTTTGCTTTTTTTTAGATATTTTAAAGCAATGGAAGAAGGTGATTTGCTTTCCTCGGAGCAAAATCATAAGCTTAAGAGAGATCCGATATGGCAATATGGGAGTTTAAGAGTAACTGACAAAGGGAAGAAGTTGATAATTTGTAACTTTTGTGGGAAATCTTTGGCTGGTGGGGGTGTTAATCGCCTCAAACATCATCTTGGCAAGGTAAAGGGCAATGTAGCACCTTGCAAAAAAGTTCCTCCAGATGTTTGTTCTTTGGCAGCTGGGTTATTACAAGATAATGTTCGAAAATCCAAAGAAAAGAGAGCAGATTTTGAAATTGAAAGTGACGATGTTCAAGAAATTCCAAAAGTCTTTAACGAGATATCAATCAAAGGGAAAAGAAAAGCTGAACATGGGATTGAAGGTTATATGTCAGGTAAAGTCCCTAATTTCACTCAACCTAGTCTCAAGTCATGTTTGCAAACTAAGGAAAAATGTCATGAAACAGACATGTCTTTGGCTTTATGGTTCTATGAGGCTTGTATCCCATTTAATGCTGCCAATTCTGTATATTTTCAACAAGCAATATCAAAAGTGGCATCCATGGGTCATGGATATAAAGCCCCATCATATCATGCACTTAGGGTCCATTTGCTTAATGAAGCAAAAAAACAAGTTGAATTGTTTGTTGATAATTTTCGTAACATGTGGGTTGACACTGGTTGTACTATCATGGGTGATGGATGGAAAGATCAAAGGGAAAGAAGCTTGATTAATTTTTTGGTTTATTGTCCTAATGGTGTGGTATTTATCAAGTCTGTTGATGCATCACATATCGTGTCAAGTGCAGAAAATTTGTGTAATTTATTTGCTGAAATTGTTGACATGGTTGGTAAGGAAAATGTGATTCATTTAGTCACAGACAATGCAGCTAACTACAAAGTTGCTGGGAGGTTACTTTCAGAAAGATATCCACTAATTAGTTGGTCTCCCTGTGCTGCCCATTGTGTTAATTTGATTATGAAAGATATTGGAAGTATGCCTAAAATTGTCAGTTTGATTACTCTTGCCTCTAGAGTCACTGTATTTGTTTACAATCGTAAATGGATTCTGAGTTGGTTGAGAAAAATTCCTGGATGGAAAGAAATCGTTCATCCAGCTGAGACTAGATTTGGTACTACATTCATTGCATTGAAAATTTTATATGACCACAGAGTACATTTGGAATCCTTGGTTTTGTCTCAAGAATATAAGGTCAAAGAGTTGAAACATCAGAAAGGTAAAGATGTGAAGGAAACTGTTCTCAATGAAAAATTTTGGAATAATTGTTTAGTAACAGTGAAGATTATGGGGCCTTTAATGCGTTTGTTGCGCATTTGTGATTGTGATGAGAGATCATCCTTAGGATATGTGTATGATGGATTGTGGAGAGCTATCAATGCTATAAAAAATCTTTTCAACAACAACAAGAAATTGTATGAGCCCTACACTCAGATTATCGACAATAGGTGGGATTCTATGTTGAAAAAAGATCTTCATGCAGCTGCTTTTTGGTTGAATCCTACATTCCAATATGAAGTTGATAATCGTGGTTTAATGTCCGAAGCTTGGAAAGGTTTGATGAATGTGATGGAGAAATTCAAGATTGAATGTTCTCAAGATGTAATGAATGAAGTTATGATGTTTAGATCACAAAATCAAAGCTTTGGGTGTGCTTTAGCTAAAAAGACTTATGCTACCACTTCCCCAGGTATTCTTCTTTTAAACATTTACCATTTTCAATTAAGTGTTTTTTATTAATTGTCTTAAGTTTTAATATTATTATTTGGTTGACATAGATCAATGGTGGAGATATTTTGGGAATGATGCTCCCAATTTACAAAAGTTGGCTTCTAGGCTCTTGGGTCAAACTGCTTCTTCTTCGGGTTGTGAGCGCAATTGGAGTGTCTTTGAAAGAATTCATACCAAGAAAAGGAATAGATTGGAGCATGAGAGACTTAATAGCCTTGCTTATGTTTGTTACAATCTTCGCTTGAAAAATAGGTATTGAAGTGTATTTTTTATTGCATTCAATGTGATTTTATTTACTTATTTTGATTTTTATTGTTTGTAACAAGGTTTTCAAAGAGGCAATGTGATCCAATTGATTATGAATGTATTGACAAAACAGAGTCTTGGGTCATCGAAGAAGTTACCGATGGACTTGAAAATGAGTTGGATGATATGATAGAAGAAGAACTTCCTAAGGATGGTGAAGAGACCACAAGTAAGTAGTTTTTTTCCTAAGAATATTTTTCTAGTATCTTTTTTATATAAGCATAATGCAACCATGAATATTTGCATATATGTAACTTCTTGAATATTGGCATAATGCGTCACTTATTTTAAGGTAAAACAAGGAAGTTTGTGATTCTTGATGAAGAAGATGATGGTGATGTGGACATTGGTTCTTCTAGCTTTTTTGAAGTTGTTGGTAATGAAGATTCTCATGATGGTAGTGATTTTGTGGAACCAAGAGTGTTTATTGGTAACGAGTACGACCTTGGTTATGAATGAAGTTGAATACTCATACTAATGACTTAGTATTCAATGAAATTGAACTTTTGAAGTATATATGACTAGAGCTAGAATTTTGGTACTCAATACAATTGAGTTTGTTTTTGTTGTAACTCATGAAATTGAGTCCTTTTGTTGTAAATGCTTAGTTAGAGCATTATAATGGTACTCAATTATATAGAGTTTCTTTGATATAACTCAGTAGGATACAATCCTTTTGAGTTTTGATGTAAATACTTAGAACTTATAACTCAATTGTATATGGCTGGACGGATGTGCTATTTTGTCTTAGAACTTGGAAATAGTGATGTGGTGTTCCAATGGATTAAATGTAAAATCATGATCTTATTTACTAGTCAATGGAACTTAGTTTTAAATTTTGAATTATGTTTATTTTTTGTTGTTGTTTTTTCATAGTTAAGAAAGTTTAACATTTATGTTAAAAAAAAATGATTGTACTCAATGGACAGAAAATGTATAATTATATATATATATAAGTATATGCACTTCATATTTATTTAAATATATATTTTTAATAATTAATAATTATTTATTACATCATTATGACGTCACCGAGTCGACTCCCCGAGTCGACCCCAAAAACCCCTGACCCCCAGTCTTCCCGAGTCGACGTCCGAGCCGAGCCTGACAACACTGATTGCAGTAGTAGCCACACTACAACATAGAAGGGAAAGATTTTATAATTGTGATGTAAAGGTGGCTATAAGGTGGAGAATATTCAAATTCATCAACAAATTATATATTGTATAGTGCAGGAAAGGGAAAGTACAAAACAGTTTGAATTGATTGTGGTTGTTGGACATCATCAAACTTGATTTACAAGTAGCATGTTTGGTATTTATGATGGGTGTGCCAATTTTGCGAGCAATCAGTTGTACCATAATTACATAAGTTCCAAAGAAGAGTTCAATAACTACATTTGCTTATTTCAGATTGATAAGTCTTTGCAATTTTGTCAACAAGACTTCACAAAGATTATTACAGAAAGATTTAAGCCGTTACTTTCAAGACTAATATCCGACGAGCAATCTGCATTTTCAGTGGAAGAGATATAATTGACAATATTCTTATGACATAAGATTTGTGTCAATATTCTTATGGCATAAGATTTCTATGGAAAATGATGAGTATTGAATTTACACGTTTATAAGCATTGCTTTTAGCCATTTTTCCATTGTAATATAGTAGTAATTAGATAGGAATTATATGATTATAAATAATTTTGTACTTTTCTCTGATCATGGACCCAATTGTAAAATTGCCAAAAGTACGAGAAAATTTGACCCAAAAAAAAGCAAGAAGTTTGGCAATTGGGTTGAATGCATTTCGGGGGGGACATTTCCAGGACCACTTTTCAAGGCATGATCCTTCACCAAAGCAGCAACCTTCTAGTTTCTACTGGAAGCATACGATGCTCGTTTATCTAGTAGGAAAAATAAGGTCCTTAGTCAAGGAGGTCGTCTTCTACTCATCAAACATGTTCTGACTGCAATTCCATTACATGTTTTCATGGACATAGTAACTCCCAAGTCAATCCTTGATGCATTGGAGAAGAGATGTCAAAACTTTTTGTGGAAAAACCCCAGCGATGGCGCTAAAAAGCACTGGAGATCATGGGATAGGCTACTTATCCAATAAGTGAGAACGGAGTGGTATTGCGAAAGCTGAAGGACGTCATAGATGCTTAATCTGCTAAGCTTTGGTTGAAAATTAAGCAGCAGAGTGGTATTAGGGTGAATTATTTGTTGTCTCTCTTTCAATCAACAAGGAAAAGAATATCATGGCAGCGAGTAAGCTCAATTGATTTTGTTGTTTCCTTGCATTTGAAGGTGTTAGTTTGTTCTAGGTATAGTAACTTTCGACATGATAACTGGTCTTCCCTTGGAGTTACATAGGATATTCTGCAAGAGAAGCCACTCTACCCAAATTTGAGTATTAGAGAGTTTTATGAGTAGAAATATTTCTTTTTGATGGAGTTGACTTTGAAGTTCTCAGCAGCAAATTCCACTTTAGAGAGTATTGATCTCAACTTTTCAGCCGACAATGAAAAAATTATTTGGCAGCCGAATGCATTGGGAAGCGTCACCATCAAGTCTGCATATGAGGCGCTTAGATAGAGGAAACAGAAGGATACAACTTTTTGTCATATATGGAACAAACTTATTCCGATTCTTATCTCCTTTTTCATGTGGAAAGTGGAAAATAGATTGCTTCCTTTCCTAGAGGTTCTTAGCTCAATGTGGTTTCAATATAATCCTTCGATTTATAGTATGCGTCAGTAACATGATTTTGTTGATCATTTTTTTATGAGTTGTTCAGAGGAAAGAAAAAAAAAGGATATACTTCGCAAGCATCATGGACATGGCGCTGCCCTTGACTGGAACATTATGGCTTTTCCTAAAAAACTAGCGGATGGTGGAAGCTTTTCAACGGGCTAAAAAAGCAATGATCATGGTCCTACTTGTATCGTTTTATGGGAGCTTTGGAAGGCAAGGAATAAGAATTTTTTGGATAGTGTTTTAGTGCCTTATAATGCTATCATGAAAGATGTGATGATACATATTTTGAATATGTTTTCTGTGCATAAGCTTAAAGATGGAAAGGCTATGGGGAAACCTTTCTTGGAAGGTATATTACCAAGTCTAAAATTTAAGTTGAGAAAAAAATCTTCGTAATAAATTTTAGGAAGTCGACGGTTGTAAAATCCTACGTCTCAGTGGTTGGAGAGAAATCTGATTGTGGCCATGAATTCTTAATTCATGGATAGCAAAAAAATATTATGGAGAATCGAGTTATCTAGGTTGTGGGAATAGCATGATGGCAGAAGTTCATGGAGTTCAAAAAATGTGAGCAGCTTAATCTTTTGAGGTGAAAATTCAGACAGATAGTCAGGAAATTGCTTCTATTTTGAATAAAGGAGGGTCTTTCTCTTGGCAGCACTACTTTTCTTTCCTTCAGATTTAGTCTATCATAACACAGAGGCGTTACTCAATTGTTCACATTATCAGAGAATCCAATGCAGTTGCGGACAGTTAGGCTAGAGAAGCATCATCAGGGAAATCAGCATTTACGCTAATCTTTGCAATCTTCTAGTATGTTCTAGAGGTCTTTTGATCCTTGATCAAAGATCTTTTCCCTATGTACGTAAAAGTTAGCTATCTTTTGATGTAATTTCTTTGTGAGTAACTCGTAAGCACTGCTCATTTTTTTCCAGCAATAAATTGGGTACGATCCCCACTAGGTTTGCCTTGGTTAAACAAAAAAAAAAAATCTTTTGAAGGTAAGTAATTGAGTACCTTTAGTCGGTGCAACACAATCAGACTTCTTTTTGTGCCAAACTTATAAGATATTTGGGTTTTTGTCTTCCGGTTCGTCGATTGAAGAATATATAATAGCAAGACCATCATGGACCTCCATCAATATTTAAATTTACTCCTTTCTCTTGTTTGATTCTTCTATTTTCTTCTTCATCTTCTTATTCTTCTTTTTTTTTTTTTGAACTATCTTCAAAATTTTTGTAATTTTACAGTGGGTTAGTCATGAACACATATCATCCTTAGCTAAATAGTGTAGAATTGAAAAAAAATTTTGGTAATGAAGCAGAGAGAAGTAATGGTTGGTCTTTGGAATGTGTTTTGTGGAGGAGAATTGACTCAAATATGATTATTATATTTTAGTATAAAAAGTTAAGTGGTGGCTGCTAAGTGGCCATGGGTAGTTATGGTGTCGAGTGAGAGAAAGAAAAACAGGAGGGTATTTACCCAAAAAAAAAAAACACTTCATTGTTTTATTTTAATATTATCAGCAAATGAAAATTTTTTATTGCATCTGCTTTCAACAATTTCTGTTAGTTAACATATGTGTTTTCCGGTCAAGGGATGGTTTCATCCAATTTTTATGTACATGGGATGTAATTTACTAATTTTCAAAATTTCGGATGGATTCACATTAAGGAGTACATTGGTATCTATATGCATACTTTTCCTCTTCATTTTCATCCCAAATCACTTTTTCTTTCATTCTAGTACGTTTTATATGATATTAAAATTAGTTTTTTGCTACTTATTTGACAAACTAAGTAATGTTAATAGTTGTCCTCTGAGTTCCCCTAGACTAAGAGAAACAATCGACCTTCTTTCGGTGCCAAACTTTTAAGATATTTGCGATATTGTCCTCTAATGGCGAGACCATCCGGAGCTTAATCAATTTTGACATTACTCCTTTCTCTTGTTTGATTCTTCTAGTCTCTTCTTCGGTTGTTTTTTTGAACAATGTTCAAGATTTCATAAGTTTTACAGTGGGTTAATCTTAAACATAATAATCCTTGACCGAGTAGTATAGAATTGAAAGTTGATTGATAATGGAGGGATAAGTAGTGGTTATTGTTAATAGAAAGTTTTGTGGAGAGGGATGTGTTTAGATGTTGATATATATTAAAATAAATAGGTAAGTGGTGGGTGGTAAGTGGTCGAGGGTAGCAATGGTGCCAGGTAACAGGAAGAAGAGCCAATAGGGTATTTGTTTTGAGTAAAACAATTAAATTTGTTCGGGAATTTATCAGCAAATAAACTTTTTTGGTTCCATATACTTTTGGCGGTTACTGTGTACTAATCAAATGATGTGTTTATTATTTTAGGGGATGAAATCGTCTAACTTTTTAGATATATGGGATTTATTTAAAAAATTTGAATGTTTTGGTACGGGAGTCAGTACGTAAACATTGGTATGTATTGACTTATTTGCTCTTTTTGTTTGGATCCCAAATCACTTTTCTAGTAGTTCCCATATTGATGAGAATCATAGAGCCTTCCATGGTGATTCTCCTAGTGAGGGGAATGAGCTAGTCCTTCATTCTAGTTTTGGAATGCCAAGTTTACTTTGCAGGCCAATCAAGGAAGAAAGGATGGATCTTGACTACCTATGTGATAGGGAGTTGGTTCAAGAGAGCTATGATCGAGATGATGAGAATGTCATTAACT